CCGCGGCGGGCACACTGGCGCGCCGCCCGGCTGCTGCCGCGGCGCCTGTGCCTGCCATCATGCTGCCGCCCCGCTGCCGCGCTCACCGTGATGCCAAACTTCTCGTACAGCAGGGGGCCGGGGGCGGAGGCGCCAAACTCGTTGATGCCGATGCTCCTGCCCTTGTCGCCCACCCACTTCTCCCAGCCAAAGGTGGAGCCGGCCTCCACGCTGACGCGCGCCTTGACCTCGGGCAGCAGCACGCTGTCCTTGTACTCCTGGCTCTGCTCCTCAAACAGCTCCCAGCAGGGCATGGACACGACGCGGACCTTCTTGCCCTCACCCTCCAGCTTCTTGGCAGCCTCCACAGCCATCACCAGCTCGGAGCCGGTGCCTGCAGGGGCGGCGCGCGCCAGGCGGGTGAGCATGGCGGTGGCAGGGCGAGCACGGCGGTGGCAGGGCTGGTGCGTGGTTGGGCAACACCCAGCAGGAGGGCAGATGGCAGCCAGCCTTGGTGGTTTCAACAACAATCTGCATGTGAAAACCAAGAGAGTGCTGGCTGACGCCAGCTGCAGCCCGCCCGTCCCCCCCTCGCTCACCGATGATGATGACATCGGGCGTGCCCTCGCTGTCGTGCACGGTGTAGGCTCCCTTCTGGCATGCCTCGATGGAGGTGGTGTCCATGTTGGGCATGCCCTGGCGGGAGCAGACCAGGGTGGAGGGGCGGCGCACGCCCTTGGCGTTCTGCAGTGGGCGGCAGGAGGGGGGACAGAAGGGGGTCAGCCACCCCGCCGGCAGCCGGTGCTCGGCATGGCAGCACATGGAGCAAGGGCAGGCAGAAGCGGGCGCACGGGCAGGCGGCGGCCCGCAGCCGCACCTGCGCCTGCGCGTTGAGCACTGCGGCGTAGTAGCAGCCGGCGGTCTCGTTGCCGTCGCCTGGGCGCATGGTGAGCATGTTGGGCATGATGCGGAAGGAGGCCAGGTGCTCCACGGGCTGGTGGGTGGGGCCGTCCTCGCCCAGGCCGATGGAGTCGTGGGTCATCACGTAGATCACGCCCGCCTGGCGCAGCAAGGGGGCGGCGGGCGAGCGTGAGGAGGCAGCGCAGGCGGCGGGGAGCGGTGCCCCGCACCAGCAAAGGAAAGGAGGCTGTGCGCGCTGCCCCCGCTGCCCCCGGCGAGCGGCAACAGCCCTCTTCCCCCTGCCGCGCGGCCCGCCCCCGCCGGCCCCCCACAGCACAGGCCCCAGGCGCCAGCCCCGCCCCCACCTCTGACAGCGCCGACATGCGCATGGGGTTGCGCATGTAGTCTGTGAAGATGAAGAAGGTGGCGCAGTAGGGGACAAAGCCGGGGGAGTGGAGGGCGATGCCGTTGCAGATGGCGCCCATGGCGTGCTCGCGCACGCCAAAGCGCAGGTTGCGCTCAGCGGGGGAGGCCTTCTGGAAGTCGCCGAACATCTTCATGAGGGTCATGTTGGAGGGGGCCAGGTCGGCGGAGCCGCCAATCAGGCCGGGCAGGTTGGGGGCCAGCGCGTTGAGCATGGTCTGGCTGTGCAGGCGGGTGGCCAGGCCGTTGTCTGAGGGCGGGGAGGGAGGGACGGCGGGGAGGGTCAGCGCGTCAGCCAGGGGGTCAACACAGGCGGCGGCGGTCGCTGCGCGACAGCAGCGGGCGGCCCCGCCAGGCGCTGCCGCTGCCCCCGCGTGCCGCGCCGCGCCTCACCCGCGGACGTGAACTTGGGCAGCTTCTCGGCCCAGTTGGCGGGCAGCTTGCCGGTGGCAATCGACTCAAACTCGGCCCACTCCTCGGGGTACTTCTGCGCATAGGCGGCGGCCACGGCGTCCCAGGCCTTGTGCGCGGCGGCGCCGCGCTCGGCGCTCTTGGCAAACTCGGCGTACGCCTCCTTGGGCACCTCAAACTCGCCGTAGGGCCAGTTGAGGGCCTCGCGGGTGGCGGCGGTCTCGGCGGCGCCCAGCGGCGCGCCGTGCACGTCGTGAGAGTCGGCCTTGTTGGGGGAGCCGTAGCCAATCAGGGTGGACACCTTGATCAGGGAGGGCTTGTCGGTCACAGACTGCAGAAGGGGTGGGAGCAGGGGCGACGCCGGCCATGTGGTGGGCACGCGCCGGGCCGGCAAGCTGGGCGGATGCCAGCCCTGCCCGGCCGCACGGCTGCGCCTGCTGCCTGGCTGCCAGCGCCGCCCAGCAGGACGGCAGCGGGGCGCCCCGCACAGCGCCAACCCCGCACCTTGGCGGTCTGGATGGCTGAGCGCAGGCCGTCCAGGTCGTGGTTGCCGTCCTGCACGTGCTGCACGTGCCAGCCCATGGCCTCGTAGCGCGCGCACACGTCCTCGGTGAACGAGATCTCGGTGTGGCCGTCGATGGAGATGCGGTTGTCGTCGTACAGGCAGATGAGCTTGCCCAGGCCCCAGTGGCCCGCCAGCGAGGCGGCCTCAGAGGAGATGCCCTCCATGTTGCAGCCGTCGCCCATGATCACGTAGCTGCGCGCAGGAGAGGGGAGGCGGGGAGGGTTATGTGTCGAGGGGCCGGGGACAGGCTCAAAGAGCGCTGCCTGCGCTGCCCGCTGCCCGCCGCTGGGGAGGAGCCGCTTCTGGCCCGGAGCGCTGGCGCCCCTGGCAGCCGGGCCGCGCCAGACCCCCCCGCCCGCCTCACGTGTAGTGGTCCACCAGCTTGGCGTCGGGCTTGTTGAAGCGGGCGGCCAGGTTGGCCTCGGCGGCGGCCAGGCCCACGCCGTTGGCGATGCCCTGGCCCAGCGGGCCCGTCGTCACCTCCACGCCCGCGGTCAGGAAGTTCTCGGGGTGGCCCGGGGTCTTGCTGCCCCACTGGCGGAACTGCTTCAGGTCGTCAATCTGAGGGAGCAGGGCGCGGGCAGGGCAGGGGAGCGTGGTGGGACAGTGCCCCAGGCCGGCTGGCTGGCGAGGAGCAGAGCATGGGCCTGCAAAACCAGGCTGGCCGGTGCTGTGCTGGTGCTGGTGCTGGCGCTGGCGCTGGTGCTGGTGCTGGTGCTGGTGCCAGTGCTGGCGGTGCGCTGCGCTGCGCCCGCGCTCACCGACAGGTCGTAGCCCATGAGGTGGAGCAGGGAGTAGTTGAGCATGGAGCCGTGGCCGGCGGACAGCACAAAGCGGTCGCGGTTGAACCACTTGGTGTCCTTGGGGTCCACGGTCATGAAGTCCTTCCACAGCACGTACGACATGGGGGCGCAGCCCATGGGCAGCCCGGGGTGGCCGGAGTTGGCCTGCGGGGCGGCCGGACGGGGGGAGGAGGGGAGGGTCGCATCAGCGCAGGCGCGGGTGGCGGGCGGCTGTGGGCGCCGCCGCAGTGGGCGGTCTGGCCTGAGCACCCAGCAAACCAGGCAGGTGGGTATGGTGCGCACAGCAGCTGCTGCTGCCAGTCCAAGCTATATTCGCGGCACGATGCTCATTCCGCTGCCAGCACCCACACCTTGTTCACGCCATCAATGGCGAGGAAGCGGATGGCTGCAGGGGGCAGGAACGGAGCGCAGCGGCAGGTGAGCTGTCACGCAGCACACAAGCTAAGCTGCTGCCGAGGGAAGCAGCAACGGCAGGCGCGGGGTGCCGAGTGTGTGGCGGCGCCGCCAGATTGCGGCAACCCCCACCGCTGCACAACCGGCGGCTGGGGCGGCTGAATTGGCTGCAGGGGGCCGTCACAGAGACCGGCTGCACGGCCGTGGCGCCAAACGGCCTCGATCGCTGCGCTCCAGGTGGAGGTGCTTAGGGCCCTACAGGCAGCCCCCTGCTTCCAGCCCTGGGCTGGCGCATTGCCGCTGCTGGCACGTTCCCGGCACCCTGCCAGCGTTTGTGGGGCTGTCTACATTGGCAGCAGCTGCGCAGGGCGGGTGCTTCGGCGCACCATTGATGGCCAGCTCCGCAGTCTTGTCCTTAATCTCGCCCTTGGCCATGGTGGGGGCCGCAGCGGCCTGGTTGCGCACCAGAGCGGCGCGGCGAGCGCGCATCTGCTGCTTGGCGGGCCGGGCAGCCAGGGGGCGCTGGCTGGCCACGAGAGTCTGTGCCATTGCGACCATTTTTAGCTCCTCGCCCGCTAGAGGAACTAGAAGATGAATCGCAAATGCGAAAGGAGGGAGATGGACGCCACCGGCGCACAACTTTGTGCGGCCTGCACCAGCCCCTTCCGATGGGGCGCCCGGGACTAGGTGGGGCTGGGCAGCGAAACGGCTTGCCGTGTGCAGCGATTGGCTGGGCAAGATGTGCACAGAACAATTGTGGGATCCGAGGGGGAGTGCGTGGAGGGAGCAAGCCACCCCCAGCTCCCGCCAGCGGGCGGCGGCGGCGGACAGCGAGTTCCTTACAGCAAATGGCAGTGCTCAGTAAGCCTTTGAGAAGATGGCCACCTCCGTGGCGGGCTGCCCCGTGAGAAAGCAGGTGCCGCTGTGCTGCGGCTGGTCAAAGGGGAAGCAGCGCAGCGTGGCGCTTGTCTCCTCCTTCACCTGCCGCTCCTGCTCGTCGCTGCCCGCCCACGGGCCCCGCGCCCACTTGCCTGCAGCAGCGGCAGGCAGGGGGCGCGAGATTCAGCAGGCGGTCTGGAGGGGCCCACCCCAAACCACCTGACGCTACTGCTGGAGCAAAGCCCCTACCACCGCCAGCCGCTGCGCCAACCGCCCGCAGGCCACCCGCTGCCAGCCGCCGCCTTCCCGGCCCACACACCTTCCGCCACCGCCGCCTGCAGCTCCTCATACGAGGCCACATCCACGATGTTTGCGTCCCGGAAGTCGCGCGCCTGGCGCAGCAGCGCGGCCTGTATGTCTTCCAGCAGCGCCGTCACGTGCTGCACAAAGGCCGCCGGCTCGAGCGGCACGCCAAACTGCTTGCCCTCCTTGCCCGCCACGTCGCGCCGCGCCGTCACGCACGTGCCCTGCTCCACGTCGCGGGGGCCCACCTGCTTGGTTGGGGGGTGTAGGGGGGGAGGAAGGCGGCCATGGGGGGGCCAGTTGAGGGTTGCAGGCGGCGGCGCGGGACAGGGACCCGCAGGCAGCGGCAGGCAGGACCCTGTGTCGGCAGGACAAGTGCGCAGCTCCTGCCACCACACCCCGTGCGCCCCTGCACCCGCCCACCCACCTCCACCCTCACGGGCACCCCCTTCATCTCATACTGGTTGAACTTCCAGCCGGGCGTCCTGTCGGTGCTGGCATCCACCTGCACCCGCACACCCGCACCCCGCAGCGCCGCCTCCAGCCGCTGCACCGCCGCCATCACCGCCTCGCCGTCCACATCCTTCTTCAGAATCGGCACGATGACGACCTGCCGGGAAGCAGGCAGCAGCAGGTGAGCTGGGACGGCCACCGACGGCAGCAGGGCAGGACAGGGCAGGGCAGGCGCGGCGCGGCGCCAGCGGCCCCAGCGCCCCTGCGCACCTGCGTGGGCGCCAGGCGCGGCGGCAGGCGCAGCCCCGCGTCGTCGCCGTGCGTCATGATGATGCCTCCCACCATGCGCGTGCTCACGCCCCAGCTGCTCTGGTGCACGTACTGCAGCTGCCCGCCCTCGTCCAGATACCGCGTGCCAAAGGCGCGCGCAAAGTTGTCGCCCAGGTTGTGAGAGGTGCCCGCCTGCGGCAGGCAGGGCACAGCCAGGGCGGCAGCAGGTGAGGAGCGCGCGGGGGGCAGAAGGGAGAGCAGGCATGGGAGGGGGCGCCTGGGCAAGGGTGCGCAGCCGGCTGGCCTGCCCGCCACAGCCGCCACCAGTCGTGCCCCCTCCTGTCGCCCCCAAGGTGCCCGCCTCCTTGCCTGCAGCGCCCGCCTGTCCCCCATCATCGCCTCAATCGTGTACGTGCAGTTGGCGCCTGCAAACGACTCGATGCGAGACTTGCGCCCAGCCACCACCGGCATGGCCGCCACATTGACGGCAAAGTCCTCGTACACCTGCCGGGAGGCGGCGGGGCGGTGGGGAGGTGTGGGGGGGAGATGAGTGGGCACGGCGGGATGGCAGCAGCAGCAGGATGGCAGTGGGAGGGGTTGGGCACCGAGCGGCCTGCGGCTGGGCGGCCAGCACCATCCACAGACAGCGCTGCTGCAGCAGCAGGGGCTGCCAGGCACGCAGCAGCTGCCGCTCCCTCGTGTGCGCTCCTGGCGGCCGCCCACCCGCAGCATGCGGATCGTCTCCTCCTCCGCCTCCTGCGCCGTGGCGTGCGCCGTGTGCCCCTCCTGCCACAGAAACTCCAGCGTGCGCACAAAGGGGCGGGTGCGCATCTCCCAGCGGTGCACGTTAGCCCACTGGTTGATGAGCAGCGGCAGGTCGCGGTAGCTTTGCACCCACTGCACGCGCACGGGGCGGGAGGGCTGGGCCGCTGAGGGCCTGCCGCGGCGCTTGCGTGGGCGCGTGCCTGTCGCCCTGTCGCCGACATGCATGCATGCGTGGGCTGCTGAGGGCCAGCCAGCACCGCGCCTCCTGCCCTGCCCATCCCTCCGCCCGCCGCCACCCACCTGCGCAAACATGTGGTTCACAATGGTCTCGCTGGTGGGCCGCACAACCAGAGGCTCCTCCAGCTCCTTGCCGCCGCCTGCAGCGGGGGTGCCGCGGTGGTGGGGATCATGGCACAGCAGCGGGCTCAGCGGGCGCATGCGTCGGCGCTTCCGAGATGCTAGCCTGGGCTTCGCGTGACGATGCACCGCCAAAGGCCCAGCCCGTGCCTCTGCCACCGGCTGCTCCCCCTGCCAGCGTGGCCTTGCGCCGCCGCCGCCCCTGCCTACCCTTGGTGACCAGGGCCAGCTCTGGAGCAAACCCCTCCACATGGTCTGCCTCCTTCTGCAGGAAGCTGAGGGGGATGAGCTGCGGGAAGTAGGCGTTCTGGTGGCCCGTCTCCTTGAACGCCCTGTCCAGGTGGCTCTGCGGGGCGCGGGGAGGCGGCACGCCAGCAGGCGGCAGCGCGGTGGGCAGCCGGGATGGCTGGGAGGGCGGGGCCGCCCTGCCCTGCCCTGCCCTGCCCTACCCTGCACCCGCAGCCGGCGATGGCACGCTGCTGCCCTGCCAGCCTCCCCAGCCCCGCTGCGGGTGGCAGCGGGAGGCGGCTTCCTGCTGCCGCACGCGGCCCGCTGCGCGCACCTGCACCCCCTCCCATATCGCATATCCGTAGGGTCGGATGACCATGGTGCCTCGCACGGGGCCATAGTCTGCCAGCTGGCACTCACGCACCACATCCAGGTACCACCTGTGGCAAGGTGCGGGCGCAGCAGGGCGCGGCAGGCGCTTGGCGGCAGCAGGCGCGTGCATGCATGTGCACATGCGTGTGTGGGGATGAGTCACAGCAAGGGGGCGCATGAGAAGGAGAGAGTGCTGGCTGCTCAGCATGCATGCGGCACCCAAGCACAAGAGGGTGGGTAGCTGCAAGGCCACCACCACCAGGACCATGCCCCGCTGCTCACCTCGAAAAGTCTTCGCTCTTTGGCGTGATGGCCCTGGCCTCCCCCTTCTTGCCTCCACCCTGCTGCTTCTGCTGCTGCTTCTTTTGCTTCTGCTGCTTGGGCTGCTGCTGCTGCTCGGCGACCAGCTCCGCGGTGCCCAGAGCCGCCTGCCCGCGTCGAGGCGCCAGGCGGCCGCCACCCCGCTGCACCGTGCCGCACAGCCATGCCGAGCCCCTGCAGCAGCAGCATGGCGCAGTCACGCACGTTTCCGCATCAGCAGGCCCCATTGCAAGGCGAGACGAGGCTGCCTGGCGCCTCCGCAACGGGGCCGCCGCCATTCTGTAAAGCGGGCGGCGCCACCCGGCAGCCCACGCTCCACCCTCACCTCAGGCACCCAGGCACGATTGCCCTGGTGAGGCTCCCCGTGGTGCTGGTGCACCTGGCTGCCCGTGCAACCTGCATTCCAGAGCGCTGGAAACCCGGCCTCAGCCAAGTGCAGCCAAACTCGGGCCCGCTGCGTTTCGCAAGTCTCAAAGCTCCCAAGGTCGCAATGCAATGTGCAAGAAGGAGAATTGGTGGCCCTTGGCAAGATGATGATGCCAGCTAGGCGCACGGGGAGCGCAGCAGAGGTTCAGGGCATGCACACGTTCTACTTAGCATTGCCTCCTTGCAATTGGCCCTTGGTCCCCTGCCCAGCCCACTGATCGGCCCCATCGCTTCGGCTCCTGTTGCTACCGCTGCGTTGCAGCCTGCACAGCGATCCAATTGCAGCTCCTGCAGCCTGTACTGCACCCTGAGAGGAGCAGTGGCCCAGCCCTCGCAGAGCAAGCGGCGGCAAACATGGCGGGCGAGCCGCAGAGCGAGCAGGAGATAGTGGCGCGGTTTCAGCAGCTCATGGAGGAGCGGGAGCAGCTGACCACCGCGTCGATAGAGCGGCAGCAGGAGGTGGCGGAGCACGACCTGGTCATCAAGACGCTGGAGCCGCTGGACGCCGAGCGCAAGTGCTTCCGCCTGGTGGGCGAGGTGCTGGTGGAGCGCACCGTGGCAGACGTGCTGCCCGCGGTGAAGAAGACGCGGGATGGGCTGGCAGGGGTGAGTGGGGAGGCGCAGCTGCACGGGCCAGGCGGGCGGCCGCTGTGCAGTTGGGGTGGCGGCCAGCCTACCGGGCGCCGCAGCTGACCTGCCTGCCTGCCTGCTTGCCTGCCTGCCTGCAGCTGGTGTCGACATACGAGAAGCAGCTGGCTGCCAAGCAGAAGGAGGTGCTTGCCTACCAGCAGAGGTACAACATTCGGATCAAGGGGGAGGGAGAGAGCGGCGGCGGCGACGGCGGCGGCGGCGCGGGCGGCAAGCCAGGGCGGCCAGGCGCGGGCGGCTCTCAGGGCGTGCTGGTGGGCAGCTAGCCCAAGGGACGGCTGTGGGAGCATCCGCCCCAGCCAGCCCAGCAGTCTCACTCCCCCCTTGCTTCCGTTCCGTTTCATCGCTGCTGCATGTCTGTCCCACCTTGCTACTTTTGCCCCACACTTGATTGCACCTCCCCCACACTGCCCCACCTGCGCTGCCCCGGCAGGTGCCATGTTACAGGAACAGCCGATCGCACGCCTAGCTGACGGGCAGGGGTGCGCCAGGGTCCTCGCTGTGCTCGGCGGCATCGTCGGCGGGGGCGGGCGCTGCCGGGGCGGGGTCCCGCGCCGGCCGCTCCCGCGCCTCTGCCGCCGCCGCCGCCAGCTGCTGCGAGGCGCGCGGGGCCAAGCGCCGCGCATCCCCCTCCGGGTCTCCCCCCAGCCCCTCCGCCAGGGCCAGCAGCACATCCACCAGGCGCTCCACCTGCCAGCACGGGTGGGGGGTGGATGGGGTGGGGGGGCACAGCAGGGTGTGAGCAAGGAGGCAGGGCAGGGCAGCAGGTGCTGAGAGCGCAAAAGGGCAACAGAGGCGCTGCGTCTCTGGGGTGCAGCGCTGGCCTGCAGGCCTCGCGCCGGCTGCCAGCAGCGCAGGGCGCGCCTGCTGCCCACTGCCTGCCCCCTGCCCCCTCCCTCCTCCCCACAAGCGCGCGCCCCCCCAGCCCCAGCCCCACCATGCCGTCTGCCGGGTCGTCCGCCTCCCACACCGGCATCAGCACCATGTTGCCCTCCTCCCCCGCCACCGCCTTGTGCGCGTCGTCGTCCACCAGCAGCACGCGGTGCAGGCGGGAGAAGTAGGGGCGCAGCGGCTTGACCGTGTCCCACTCCTTGCCGCCCGCCGCCACGTGCTCCAGCGGCGCCAGGAAGGTGTGGGTGCGGCACAGCGTGAGGCGGCGGTCGAACAGCGGCTCGCCGGGGCCTGCGCCAGGGGCAGCAGCGGCGGTTGCGGCAAGGAGGATGCGGCTGCATGCGGGGAGGATGCCCTGCCCACGCATCCAGCCACAGGAGCGCCGCCGCCAGGCTGGCAGCGCGTGTGAGCCGGCCCTGGCGGCCCGCTGCTTGCCTGCCGCCTCCTCCAGCAGCTCCAGCGCCACCTGTACCGTCCTGGGGCTGGCAGAGCTGAACATGCCCAGGTGGAAAGAATCCTGCGGGCGGCGCGCGGGTGCGGGGTGGCGGTGCAGACGATGGGGCATGCTGGGCGCGTCGCGGGCACAAGCAGGCAGGGCGCCAAGGGCCGGCACGGCTGCTCTGCCTGAGCCCAACTCTATTTTTGAGCTGGGCTTGGGCTGGTGTGACGCTTCAGAGCGGGGCTACCTCTGTACTCCCGCACGCCTCCTGTACTCCCACGCGCCGCCCCGCGCACCTTGAGGCGGCGCAGGTGGCGGATGCCCGGCCGCGCCTTGTGGACGCCCGCGGAGCGGCGCATGCTGGTGTGGGATGTGATGCAGCCGTTGGCGTCAAACATGAGCACCACCTTGCCGGGGTCGGTGCCCGCATCCAGCACCAGACCGCTGGGCTCGTCGTACCCGTGCCTGCTCCAGGGGTGGCGCCGCGGCAGGTGGGGCGGGGCAGGCGAGCGCTGCCTGCGCCCCTGGCTCTGCCGCCCAGGGAAAGGCACGATGTTGCCGCCGCCCGCCCCAGGCGCCCCGCCCTGGCCCTCGGCAGCGCCTGCCGGCCTGGCGGGGCTGCCCGGCGCAGGCTGCCAGCGCTGCGCCGCAGGCTGCGGGTGCCCGCCTGCACGCTGGCCGCGCCTGGGAGACCGCGGCACCGCCGGCTGCTCAGGCTCGTCGTGGCCGCCTGGCTCAGACGGCCGCCAGCTGCTCGCTGCGTCGGCGCGTGACCCGTGGTAGTGCTGCCGCTGCTGCTGCATCCAGCCCTGCTGCTGTGCAGGCTGCTGCAGCAGCAGCGGGGCGCCCGGCTGGAAGGCGAGGGCATCAGCGCTGAGCTGCTGCGGGTGGGCATGCCCGCCGGCGGCAAATGTGGTGGCTGGCAGTGCGCCTGCGCTCCACGCACCGGGCGCTGCCATGGGCGCGTCAGCAAGCTGCGCTGCGGCTGCCTGCACCGTCACCGCCGCTGCTCCTGCCGCCGCCGGCGCGTGCTGTGCCAGCAGCTGGGTCACCACCGCCGCCGCCTGCTCCGAGCTGCGGGCCACTTGCACGCCGTCAAAGCCCTCCTTGCCCTGTGGGTACTGCCACTCTGACAGGAAGCGCTGGATGACATCCTCCGCCTGCCACCCAGGCAGCGTGGCGTGCCCGTCCCGCTGCGATGCCCGCTGCAGGCACACCTCTGGCGGCAACTCTATGCACAGCGCCAGCAGTCGGATGGGCACTCCGCCCGCCTGCCGCTGCCGCCGCGCCAGCTCAATCCAGTGGCGACGCTGCGCCATGTTGTGGTTGCACCTGTCGACGACGACAGACTGCCCTGCCGCAAGCGCGCGGCTGCACGCCGCTTCGCACTTCTTCCTGTCCCCGAGCTCGTCTTGAGAAATCACCGCCCACCCGCTCTCGCGGAAGCGCGCGGCTAGGGTGCTCTTGCCTGCACAGAGGGTGCCATGGAATGCAGCAGATCGGACATAGAAATGCCAGCTGGAAAGGGAGGGCGCCTATGAGTTGCACTGGGACGGGGCGGGGCGCTGAAGGCCAGCGGAGGGCGGCAGGGCAGCGCAACTGGCAGCGACATTGGCTGTGACTCGCCAATGGCAGCAGCAGCCCTGCCCGGTTGCCACTGCTCGCAATTTCCAGTTTGGCAGCGAGCGATTTCCAGTTTAGCAGCGAGTTTGTGCATGTTGCAATCGCGGCGGCAGCACGACGAGGCTTCATTGCTCGCCCAGCCACCCCTGCAGCTTGCCTGATCCAGGAAGGCCGGCGAGGACAAGAAGTGTCTGAGGAGCGCGGGTCTGTGGCTCCGGAGCAAAGAGGACAGGCTGCCCTTCCCTCTCCATTACTGGAAGGACTGGACAGCAAACATATGAAACGGCAGGAGGCAGCGCTCAAGTACAGACTCCACCAAGTCCACCAAGTCCCGCCCTGTTGTACCGCCGCAGCGCACCTCAGCGTGCGTAACAAAATTTTGGGGGCCATGCAAGAAGATGACATGCATGCGGCTCTAGCTAGTATCAAGAAGAGGCTCGTCTCAAAAACACAGCTCACACCGACATGAGCTCCGAGGTGGTGGCGGCCGGCGTGTCGCGGCTGGGCGGGCGGCACACAAACAGCACGATGCCCAGCACGCGCGCCACCGCCGCCGCGTCGCCCCCCGTCATCAGCTGCGTCCTGCCGCTGGCGTCCTCCACCAGGTAGTACTTGTCGTGCTGCAGGGCGATGTCCTCGGCCGCAATGTCCGCCACCAGGATGCCCTGCCCTTTCATGCGCTTCAGCTCCTCCTCCGTCTGCGATGGCAGCACCACAAGGGGGAAGGGACAGGCGCGTGTGATGGGTGGGTGGGCAGGGAGGCAGCAGGGCCATGGCCACAGCACAGCAGGGGTTAAGCAGCAGGCCGTCAGCTGTGCACGGCCCGAGATGCCCTCCCTCCCCTCCCCCACCACCCCACCTTTGCTGACGTGGCGGCCCGGATCTGCGGCACATCTATGCAGTTCCTGATGGTGAGGGCAACAGGATGCGCCGCCAGCGTCAGCACCGACCAGTTGGGCAGCGCCTGCAGAAGGGGGTGCGGGCATCGCAGCGCACAGCCTGTCAGCGGCAGGAGGATGGCGGCCAGCAAGGCTCCACCAAAGCCCGTGGGGCCTGAGGCAGCCGGCATTTCCCCTGCACAGCGGGCTGTGGGCAGCGTTCCTGCTGGCAGGAGTAGCAGAGGCAGGAGGCCACCACGCTGGCAGCCAGCGAGCAGCGCCACTCACCACCCACTCGAGATCCACGCCCTCGGGCGGGATCTTGAAGTTGCCAAACACGCCTTCGCTGGAGACCTTGGGGGCTGCCAGCACCTGGTCGCCGGTGGCAACCTGCAGCAGGCAGCAGCGCAGCGCAGTGCTGAGAACGGCTGACAGCAAGAGCAGAAGCAGACGGGGTGCCAGTGCAGGATGTTGCAGGCTCCCCCTCATGCCCGCAGCACATACAGGCCCAGCGGCTGCTCCCAAGCCCCAAGCCAGGTGCAAGGCGCAGCCCGAAGGCCCACCTGCAGCTCCCCCGCCACCGCCAGCGGCCGCACGCCCAGCTCGTCGCGCGACATGCGCAGCATGGTGAGGATGGCGGTGGGCAACACCATGGCTGGCCCCCCCTGCTCCTCACCCAGCAGCGAGGTCTGTAGGCAGGGCGGCACAGCCGTGGGACGGGAGCAGTGAACGGACCAACAAGGCCAGCGGGGTCTGTGGGACACGTGGCAACATAACGGCCGTCCGGTCCCCTCCCACCCACACCCACCAGCTTGCTGCGCGCTCCATCCGTGTCTGCCACGGCCAGCCCCCGCTTGGCGCACGCCTCAACGTCCGCTGTGCGCCGGCACTCCATTGCCTGCACACACGGCCCGCCAGCCAAGCTCAATACATGCCGCTCGGCAGCAGACAGCGGTGTGCAGCGGAGGCCCCGGGGCAGCATGGCGCCGCTCCGCGCCTGGCCCTGCAGCCCAGGCTCCCTGCCAGCGACCAGGCCCAGCCCAGGCACGCCCCGCTCACATCGCGGAAGTGCTTGTACGCCAGCACGTCGCCGGGGCTGTCTGAGAAGCCCTCCTTGCGGCCGCCGCGCCGCTCATACTCCTTTACCGCCCTCGCCAGCACCTGGCACTCCTGGGGGCTGCGCGCAGCAGGAGCAGGGGTGGCGGGGCCACGTGACCGTGCGTGCACCAGCGGCAGGTTTGGCCGGATCGGGCAGCAGGAAGCGCCTCGTGCTGACCGTGCTGTGCACGCTGTGGCGCCAAAACCCTGGCACCTGCACCCCCGCCGCTGCCACCCGCCCCCTCCCAGCACACTCACACACACATGCACACACACGCACACACACACCCCTCACCTCAGGTTCCTCTCCGCGATGTACGCGGCGGCGGGCGCCCGCTGGCGCACCGACAGGAAGCGCAGCTCGTACAGCAGGTCCTCCCCCTCCGCGTCAAAGTGGGCCAGCACCTCGGGGCTCAGCTGGCCCGAGGCCGCGATGCTGGCGCGCACCGGCGCCGCCGAGCTCCACACATTCTGCACCTTGCGCTCCAGGCCCGTCGCCTCCTCCACCGCCACGCCGTCGTAGCCGGCGCGCTGCAGCGCGGGCAGGAACTTGGCCAGCTCGTACCAGTGCCCCGTCAGCGAGCGCAGCCGGCTCAGCATCTCCTCGGTGCTCATGTCAATCTCGGGGCCAGGCCCCGGCCCCGCCATGTCCATGAAGCCGGGCGGCGGGCGGAACTGCTGCTGCTGCGGCGGTGGGCCGTCCAGCAGGCCGCCGTTGAGGTTCTTGGGCGCGGTGCCGCCGCCCTGGCCGGGCACCACCAGCTTGGCGGGGCGGACGCCAGAGTCCTGGCCGGGGATGATCAGGCGGGGGTCGCTGCCGCCGCCATAGTTGCCGCCGCCGCCGCCGCCACCGTAGCGCGCGCTGGCGGGGGTGCTGGCGCCCCGCCGTTGCTGGCGGGCGGCTGTGAAGGGCCTGCCCTGCGCTTGCAAGTGCAAGCTGGGCATGGCGGAGGGAATGTTGGGCGGATGCAAGGGTGTCTCGACGCTGGGGAGGCCGCAGCACACACGCACGCCCTGTCTAAGTGAAGCTCCTTGCCCGGCGAGCCACGTAAATATGCTGCAAAGGAGGATTGCGGCCTGGCGGCGAGCCATGGCCTGCCTCGCGCCTTCTTCCTGCGCATGGGCAGACGGCCTCTTCGGCCTCACAAGGCCATCGCACCCATCGCGCTTGCTGGCATGCGCTCCCGGGGGTGATCTGAGGCCCAGCAGCCGCCCAAAAACCTGCCCATCTGCATTATTCTGTCGCTGGTCTCACGTGTTCCATGCAAGCCTGCCTGGGAGTCTCGGGGGCATCCCAAGCCAGCACCAGTGGCCACAGCACAGCATGCAACAATAGCTGCAGGCGGGGGCCAGGCCACTGGCAGCTGTCCAGCAGAGGCAGGGCGGTGGCAGCAGAGGCCGCCCGCAGCAGCGACAGCCTCCAGGCCCGAGCCGCGGCGCCCCCAGCAGAGCAGGCCGTGACCCGCGTGCCAGTCAAACAGCTGGGCCCCGCCGGCGCCCGCCAGCCCGGCGGCTCCTTCACCGCCGCCGCCGCCGCCGCCAGCTCCAGCAGCAAGGCCGAGGATTGGCTGGACCTGCTGGGCACGCCGGAGCCAGACATGTTTGGGTCCCGGGCTCGCAGTGCGTCAGATGCGGCGGTGCTGCGCCGCAAGGGACACCTCAAGTGAGTGTGGGGGGTCTGGCGGTGGGGCTGTGGAGCGCTGCAGGCACAGGTGCCAGGTGCCGTCTGCCCCAGCCCCAGCCAAGCTGCTGCTGGGAAGGCTGCCATCACACCGCCGACCTGTGCCTGCGCAAGCGCCGCTGTGTGTGTGCAGGGAGCAGGACAAGTTCATCCAGTTTGTGCTGGAGATGCACCAGACGCACACCAGCCTCGAGGTGGGGTGTGTGTGAGCGCGGGTGTGGGGGTCTTGTCTGGTGGTGCCCCTGGTGGCTGGCATTGCGCCTGCTGCTGCTGGCTGTATGCCCTCACCTGCATCGCTGCTGGGCCCACCCCCTGCCTGCCTGCCCGCACCACACGCGACCCCTCCCCGCCTGGCCTGCTGGCCCTGCAGGTGATGCAGAAGATGGAGCGGTGGATTGTGGAGCACCGCAAGGACCCGCGCTCTAGCCGGCTGCGCCGCATGGTCCCCACCATCGGATCCTTCTTCGTGCCCCTCAAGTGAGCGCCGGCCGGCTGGGGTGGGCGGCCTGCCTGGGGGCAGAGCACCGGCCGCCGCCTGCCGCCACACGCCCCCACGCAGCAAGTTGCAGCGGGTCTGTCTGCTCGCAATGCGCATCACACACACACGCTGTCTCACCCCACACCACCACCCCCCACCCTCCCCAGGCTGGTGGATGCCTTCATGGAGTACGACGAGTTCTTTGCGCTGTCCCGTCGCCAGTACGTGCCCCCCAACTTTGCAGAGCTGCGCCACATCCTCAACATCGCACAGGTGCGCCCCCTCGGTTACTGCGCTGGCGGCGGCTCTGTGCTGCGCGCTGCGCCGGAACCTGGGTGCCGCCGGCGCCCGGGCCTGGGCGGCGACTGCAGCGCAGACCAGCGCGGCTAGGAGCAAAGGGAAGCACACCAGGCACCACGGGAAGCACACCAGGCACCCCTTGTCTGTGCCTCCGCCTCCCGCCTGCAGGTGCACGCCTCGGCCCAGTTCCTCAAGCTGGTCACCTTTGACGCGGACGGCACGCTGTATGCCGACGGGCACCACATCGAGCACGACAACCAGATGATCCGCCACATCATCAGCCTCATGCGCAGGTGGGGGGCGGCGGGGCTGG